TTTTGGAACCTCTTCTGTAGGTGTGGCCTGCTTTCCGGGTCCACTGGTGGAACCTCTTCTAACTGGTTCGGTAGATTTGACAAACCGGTTCTACCTAACTGGTGCAAACTGGTAGGAACCCACCTCTGCTCCCGAGCCTGGGGAAGGCAAGCAACTGTCCAACTGGAAGTTTGGGAACAAACTTTGTCCATTGGGCTGTTTTTCGCCTTCCCCAGGCTTCAGGAAAGCCTCAGAGCCTGGGGAGGGTGAAAAACAGGCCCAACTGGCCAACCGGAAGTTCATCTCCAAACTTCCGGTCCACCCGTTGAGCCTGTTTTTCGCCCTTTCTAGGCTGTGGAGGCTTTCATGAAGATCGGGAGGACAAAAACAATCTCCCTCGGCCCTCCAGAGGGCTGAAGCTGAGGGCTGCCGTGCCGGCAAATATGGCTCTGTGCCGGCATGTTGCTCCTAATAAATAACTGGATTTCTTTTGAAGGTTGGGTTGAGGCTCATGATTTAATTAGGGCATCCGTCGGAACCCTGCCACCCTCCCCCCAGGATTTATGAGTTGACACTACCTGTACTTGGTCGTAGGTTGAGGATTACCTGTATCGGAGAGATGGAACCCAAGAATTTCATCCAGGTTCTTATGGGAATGACATACCTGGTCCAAGGGTTGCTGGGGACCGCACCGAAGGGAAGGCTGGCTTGGGAACAGTTGGCTTGAACTGCTGGAGATGGCTCTGTTGAACAGGAGATTCACCTGAATTGCTTGCCCCACTCTCTCCTCCGGAGGGGGGAGTTCCCATGGATGCCCCCTCGAGGCTAGACAGGGAAGCAGCCGACTGCAAGGAAGAGAGAACATCAAAAAGGATCAGGAGGGGAAAAAGTTGATTATATGGGTTCTTTTGCGCTAGAATGGAACAAGCCGGTTTGTTGAGAACATCCTGGGAAGATCTGATGAAAATCTCCTTCTATGTCCGGGGTGTCAGTGTTCCGAGTAACGCACCCATTGAAAGCATAACTCCGAGGCAGGTAGATTCCTCAAAGGATATGCTTTTATTGAATACATCCAGGGGTGGGCTGCTGGGGGGTTCACAGGGGTTCGGCCGATCCTCTAGCTAGGATTCTGCCCAGTTCGGCAAACCCCCAAATGCCACTCCTGGCTGGCCACGCCCACCACGCCCCTCCCCTCCCAGGAGGCTCCACGCAGCCTGTTCATCATGCCAGGTAAGTGCAGGGCACACACAGAAGGGTCAGGGAGGCGGGAAAAAGAAACCGGAGGTTCCAGAATTCCGGAAATGGGCCTGGTGGAAGCAGTTTTCGTCCTCTCCGTAGCCTGGGGAGGGCAACAAACATCCCACCCGCCATGGTGCAGGAATAGCAGTTATAGCAATAGCAGTTAGACTTATATACCGCTTCATAGGGCTTTCAGCCCTCTCTAAG